AATTGTGTGTGGTTCGCAAGTATCAGCACATGAAGATTTTGGCGGGAAAATTGCTAATTCGGCAACTAGAAAAGCTGGAGAGTTGAAGTTTCAAGGGAGAGGGGAAGGGAGGGAGGGGGGGGGGGATTCCCAGTTCGTGTGCAATTTAAAGGTTTTAAATTCAGCCCTCAGGTATGAGGGATTCCCAAGCGTGGGCAAGTGGAAATTTTGGAGAGAAAATTGCTTTTTGAACAGCTGAATCATTCTCGATGAATGACCGTTCAACGGGAATTATTCCTTTTTCTTTGTGCCAAATTTACGATGATTTACGGCAAATGTAAAGCAACAACCATTCATAAAATTACTAGCCTGACTGCTCCAAGTTTAGCGCAAAAATGCATGGTCGTACCGGTAAAACTGGCGCGTTCCAGCCTTCATATGTTTTTTATTCGGAACTTGTTGCATTCACTCAGTTCCATATAAGTTTTAAATGGATTCTTCATATTATTGTGTTAAGCAGTATTCGAAATATTCGGTTGCTTTTTTTTTGAAAAGACAAATAAAAAATTTGTTGGTAATTTGCAGGCGATTAATGATTTGCTAAATGTTCTCGACCTGCGCAAATATGAAGCTATCCAGTTGACGTTCAAACAAGTTTCAAAGAACTTCGAAACTGTTTTCAAGAAACTTGTCCCTCAAGGTCATGGCAGTTTAGTGATGCAAATCATTCATGTGAGTTTTCAGTTTTTATGCGTTTTTTGAAGCAATGCAATGCAGAAAACGCATATTGACGAGAGGTTGTCTGTGTGTGCGCTGGGCGTCTATAGCGATTTTTTATCTCGAGACCTACAAAAGCCACAGGGTTGAACCTTTGGGAACTTAATCTATATGCAAGTACGGGCCCCATCTCCAAAATGGGCGGCCTTACCTGCGTGGTAACCAACATAGTGGCCCATGAAAGTTTTTTGTGGGCAAGTTGTTAACTCAAGAACCTGAAAAGTTAGAAGACTGGAACTTTAAGGAGGTATTCCTCCCCCAAATATGTACTAGTGAGCTCAAAACCAGACACCGAGAATGCGTGATACTCACGTACGGTTCGGTGAAAGTTTTTTTTTGGGTAAATTGTTTACTGGGGAGCCAGGAAAGCTAGAAAGCTGAAATTTTAAGGGGGTGTTTCCTGGAAGTTCTGGCGGTCAGTATTAATTTCTTTAGCTGGAAGCATTTTCCGGAAAAACTGGTGCCGTTGGTGACAAAAACTGCGCCCCGTGCGTTGGCCAATTATTTTTTTTCAGTTCTGTTGCTATTATGGTATGTCGTGATCGGAAACAGGTTTTTTTTTGGCAAGCATAGATGACTGTCTTGAAAAAGTGGTGGTTTTTTAGCCCTCTTCTGTTCGGTGGATTATTTTTTTCTAGAACATTAACTGATTCAGCCTTCTACTAAAAAATGTGTTTTGGCACGATATTGTTGTGTAGCAAAGTTTTGCAGGAAGATGATTCAGTGCCACCAGACGAGCAGGCTGATTTGCCTCGTGTGGAAACTTTTACCGGCGTTGCTATTCGAGTACGTTCAGTTGAACTGTATAATTTCTTTTCTTATCAATATTGGTAGAACTGATTTGAGACTGATAAAACAGGCATCCTAAAAAAAAAGAATATTGACTGATTCAGTTAGTATTCTGACTTTATGTGTGTTTTATGTGTATTTTGTGAGTTTATGTGTATTTTTCACTGGAACACTGCTTTAGGTTTCGTTCACCGGCGAAGATGACAATCTGGAAATGCAGCAACTCTCGGGTGGTCAAAAAAGTTTGGTTGCCCTAGCTCTGATATTTGCAATTCAGAAGTGTGACCCGGCACCATTCTATCTGTTTGATGAGATTGATGCAGCTTTGGATGCTCAGCACAGAAAAGCTGTCGCAGGTCGTGTTAACTTGACTTTTTTT